GGGTTGGCTGCTCCACCCCAATGTCCACAGAGTGGGACCATGGCTGCGGGTTAGGGCAGCAAAGCTCGGTCTGAGCTGGCCCAAGCAGGCTGGGGTCTCTGCAGCCAAGGAGGGGGACGCACACTCACCACGTCAGCATGACCCCTGAGAGGAAGGTGGAGACGTAGTGATGGAAAACCCACCAGCCTTTGATCCTGGAAGGGAGACGCAGGGTGTCAGGTCCCCAGCACCAGCCCAGCATCAGCCCAGCATCAGCCACCCCCGGCCCCGCGCGGAGCAGGACCCAGCGCCCCCCAGTCCAGGCAGCACCCAGGACCCTTCCAATGGCTGCTCCACCTTCCCACACCGCCCCCGCACAGGGAGCTCCCCCCAGCCAGGGGTTGCCACGCATCCCGAGCAGGAGGGAGCTGCTCCCTGGGCAGTGCAGACGTACGCAATGGTCCCAGCTCCTTCTTGGACTCACTTGGATCCGTTGTTGATCAGGATGCTCTCCCGGATAGTGAGGGTGCAGTAGTACCACACCAGCAGGAAGTTAAAGACGGCGTCTGTCACCCTGGGAGGGCACACAGCAGGGTGTAAAGGGGGCTGCACAAGCATCGTGGCATTCCCATGCCTGCAGGGCAGCGGCCAGACCCTTTGCCAGGAGCTGCTGTTCAGCTCTGGGCCTTTTGGGATGGGAGATGAGGACCTGGGGGCATCCAGGTCAGGACATTCCAGGACAGGGAACATCCAATCCACGCACCTGGAGTTGAGGAGGAACCGGCAGGAGAAGGAGACAATGAGCAGGATGATGGTGAGGTAGAGCTTGAACTTCTCGTACTCATCCTTGTATGCGAATCTGCAGGGAAGCACAAGGAAAAGCTTGGAGCAAGGCGGCTGCTGGAAGTCTGTGTCCTCCCATCCCACCCGGCTGCACGTAAGTGGTGTCCCCTTGGGACACGCTCAGGAAAAGCCTCATCCCCAGGGCTCATCTGAGAGCACAGCGCCCCAGGCTGCTCTCACACGGGCGGGACAGCTTCCAGCACCCCCACCACACCGTGCTGGGCAGACTGGTGTCTGAGCAGCTCCCCAAGAGGAGGCCTGGGGAGCAGAGGGAGGGGGACCAGGGCTCCTGTGGCACTGCTGTCCCCATGTGGGGGGCTCTCATGGGCCAAACCTGGTCACTGGTGTTTCCCCAGGGGAAGAGGAGCGAGTTGCCAACGGCTGCACAAGTCTTTCTCTCCTGGGAGTCCCTACCATGGGGGAAACGTGGACACAGCTTGGGTGGAGGATCCTGTCTAGGTTGTTAGAGCTAAGGGTCCATCCCAGCCTGGTACAGGAGTGTAGCAGGGGAAATAAGGACTGGGCCATTTGTGGGAAAGGCAGCAGGGGACAGCCTGGGTCAATCCCTGTGTGTGGCTCAGCCGGGGGTGCTGCAGGGATCCCAGGCCGGGCACAGCACGGGGCAGCGGCGAGGACGGGGCCGTACTTGGCCTGCTTGCTGAGCAGCGTCACGTTCACGTTCCCGAGCACCAGACTCAGGTACAACCTGGGGAGAGAGCAGAGGCGTTAGGACGGGAGCTGGCAGCAGGGACAGAGCCATCCCCTCCGGTG